TGGCAAGATGTTGCTCAATAAACAGCAGACGGACGGTGCCGTTGAAAACGTTCAGCCTTACTTCCGGGGTAAACAAGAAGTCGTGACTCATGCCGAGACTATAGACGAGTCCATCGATACCAGTCTTCAGCAAATACGGGAATATTTGGAACCCTTCCGCACAGGGGTTCCGGGTGGGCAGTGGATAAAATTGATAAACTCTATCTAGACATAGCTAACTACGTACCGTTCAGAGGCAGATCGTACCTAGACTTGCCAGCCTACTTCAAGAAAAAACAAGCCATGGTCAACATCAAGAATAGAGGTGGATTGCATGAGGTTAGCAATCAGGTCAGCCCTGTTGTTTCCGACCGACGTTAATTCAAACAGACCACGAAGCTATCCCCAAGAAGACGGGCTCAACTGGGACGGTCTGAGCTGAACCCACCCCATATCTCAGATCACTAAAATCGAGAAGCAGAATGCCATAGCCATCAACGTCTTTGGGCACGAAGGCAACAAAACGATCGTGCACAGGATCAGCCCAATAAAGGGTCGCCACGTGATCAATATATTCATGATCCAGCGAGGTGGTAGGTATCACTATGCGTGGATAAAACACTTCAGCAGGCTTTTGCACGACCAATCGAAATACAACAGGAAAAGACACTTTTGTGAATGATGCCTACATGGCTTCACGCGAGCTGATTTATTAGAATCCCACCGGGAGGATTGCCTGGCGCGGGGGCAGACGGCCATACCTGGAATCGACATGCCCAACGGTGGCGACAATGTCTTAAAATTCACCAACCATAAGAACCAGATGCCAGTGCCTTATATCATCTATGCCGACTTCGAAGCCTTCATCAAAAGCGTTGACATCGGACTGACCCCAAACACGCACAAAACGCAGGAGCACAAGGCCTGTGGGTTCGGATACGTGGTCGTCCGATGTGATGGGGAAACGAAAGCTACCATAGTGTACAGTGGTCCCGACGCGGCTGAAAAGTTTCTAAAGTGCTTGCAATGGGACGAAAAGCCATCAGGAAGAAATTGTACAATATCGTTCCCATGTGTATGACCCAAGCAGACCGGCGAGCTCACGGATGCAGCACTCGTTGCCATGTGTGCGACGACCCACTGAACGGCGATTCAGTGAGAGATCACTGCCATCACTCAAAATCAACCCCAAGACCATCAACATCCCCGTGGTCTTCCACAACTTGAGAGGGTACGGCTCTCACTTAATCATGCAGGCCATTGCTAGGGTCGAGGGAACCTGACGTGCATCCCCACAAGATGGAGAGATACATCTCCTTCTCCCGGAACGGCCTGAGGTTCATAGACTTAGTTCAGTTCCTGCTGTCGTCTCTCGAAAACCAGGATTTAAGCTGGAACTCCTCACCGATTACAACATGCACCTGTTCATCGAGAAAGGATTGCGAGGTGGGACCTCCATTGCTGCCAAACGGTACGCAAGAGCCAACAATAAGCACACGTGAAGGGCTACGATGCTAGCAAACCCATTAATCATCTCCTCTATCTCGACGCCAACAACCTGTATGGTTGGGCTATGAGCCAGTATCTACCCACCTGGGGGGTTCGAGTGGGTGCCTGAGATAGACGTCATGAGCATACCACCGGATTCGGGGGCAGGTTACATCCTCGAAGTTGACTTGGAGTACCCAGCAGCATAACACAAGTCACACAACGGCTACCCCCTGGCCCCAGAACGTTTGATGGTGAACCCGGACTGAATGTCCGACTACCAACAGAGGGTGGGGGGTAATAAGCTAGACAACGTCGAAAAACTTGTACCCAACTTGATGAACAAGACCAAGTACATCGTTCACTATCGCAACCTGCAGCTGGACCTGTCGCTGGACCTGTCGCTGGGTATGAGGCTGACTAAAATTTATAGGGTGCTCAAGTTCAACCAAAGCCCCTGGATGGAGCCCTACATCTGAATGAACACGGACCTGTGAAAGCTGGCCACCAGTGACTTCGAGAGGAACCTCTACAAGCTCATGAACAACTCGGTGTTTGGTAAGACGATGGAGAATTTGCGAAAACGCATGACGTGAAGCTGGTCCGGGCGAAAGAGAAAGACAAGCTCAGGAGACTGATAGCCAGCCCGGCATTCAACCAGAGCAAAATATTCAACAACGATCTGGTGGCCCTACATATGAGGAAGAGCCACATCAAGTTCAACCGGGCCGTCTACGTTGGGATGAGCATCCTCGACCTCTCCAAGAACCTGATGTTACGACTTCTACTACAACGAGCTCAAGAAGCAGTACGGCGACAGGTGCGAAGTGCTGTACACGGATACGGACTCCCTGCTGATGGAGATTCGAACCAGAGACGTGTACGAGGACATGAAGAAACACATGCAACTGTATGACATCAGTGACTACCCCAAGGACCATGCCATGCACAGCACGGTTAACAAAAAGGTCCTCGGTAAGATGAAGGACGAGTGTGCTGGCACGCCCATAGCGGAGTACATAGGCTTGAGGCCCAAGATGTACTCCATCCTGAAAGCCGACAATAGCGATATCCGGGAAGGCGAAGGGTGTCAAGAAGTATGTGGTGAAACAACACATCAAACACGCCAGGTTCAAGGAGGCCCTGTTCAGGACCAGCACCTTCAAGCATCAGATGAACACGCTGAGAAGCGAAGGGCACAGGATATACGGACTGACGATAAACAAGACGTCCCTGTCGCCGATGGACACAAAGCGTTGGATAGCCACCGATGGAATCAACACGTATGCGTACGGGCATGTGAAAATTGAACCAAAGACATAGCCGTATGTATATGATGTCACGGAAACAGAGAAAGTTTGAAGCTATTTACTACAGCCCGCGTGGATACTGGAAAGGAGCGAGCACCATACATAAGCTTGCCAAAATGGCGAGAGTACCCCCGACCTAGGCCAAAGCGTGGCTTGAGAAACAAGCCCTGTGGCAGATCTATTTACCGGCACCACGTTACGTGCCTAGAAGAAAGTTCGGCATTGCCGTACCCAATAGCGTCCACCAGGCCAACCTCCTGTTCCTACCCCACGACAAGAGGTACAAGTACGCCCTAACCGTCGTTGACGTGGCCAGCCACTACAAAGAAGCCGAACCCTTAACCGCGAAAGACTCGGCCCAGGTAGCCCGCAGATTTGAACGCATATACAAGCGCAGTCCGCTGACATGGCCCATGGAACTGCAAGTCGACCCCAGATGGGAGTTCATGGGTGCCGTGTCACAACTGCTAACTGTCGGCTATCAATAACAAAATCACTTGGCTCACCGGCAAGAAACCGGCTGACGCTATCAAACTGAAATCAGTGATGGCCGAACCGGCTGCACCATCGTGTAGGAAGGAGAAACAGATACCCGAACGGGTCCTTGTGAGATACCTCTACCAGCCGGGAGAACATGAAGGGGACACTCGGAAACGAGTCACCGACCCGACATGGTCAGTCAAAACTTACAACATAGATAAAGTGGGCATCAAAGCCGACGAGCCGAACTTGTACGACTTGAAAAATGGGCCAGGGAGAGGTTTCGTCAGAGAGGAATTATTGATCATACCAGACGGCACAATGTTACCCCCCAAGCAAAATATAAAACACTATCCTTGTCGAGTAATCCCAATAGTATCCTGTAACTCATAGGCGATTCACATTAAACTGTTTCCTTGAGGTCAACACGACATTGGGTGATCACAATAGCATCACGTGATCAGGAAAGTGTTGGTTTGCCATAGTGACCAGGAAGTTAACTGGGGAATCAAACAGTGGTATATACAATAGCGGAGAGAGATAAGGGCCTGACAAAAGCTTTATTTCATAAATGAAGCTTTACAGAGTCTTTTGTTGGAATTGATCTCGTACCGCTATTGTATATACTACTGTTGTGTGTTTTCATACCACTTGTTTTGGAGATGCTCGCAAAGACATTGTTGCATCCGTAATCCTCTGTAAACACTGCAGTATTGTTTACAAGTCATCACAATGCCTTTTCCTGTACCGCCATATGTAATTTTTGGACATATGAGAAATATATCTGACATTTCTTCCTCATATGCGTTTTTATTGCTTCTCAGTATACATCGAAACATCGCTCTATGCAATAAGCAAGAAGTTGTCGTCCATAAACTTGTATGTTTCATTTTTGACTCACCAACTTCTAGAATGCCGATCAAACAATGTTTTATTTGGATATGACGTGTAACTACTATAACTGTGACACATATATCTGGTATGATGATGTTTAAGAATTACTGGTTGTAAAGATGAATAATAGGGAGAGTTGTATATATGCAAACAGGAGTGTAACTGACAGACACATAATGTTAATAAAGTAAATACAATAAATATAAATAATTTAACATCAAATAAGATTATCAAAATGGTTAAAACAGGCACCTAAAGAAAAAAGTCAATTAAATCTTTTATCTACTCAATCAATTGTCTTTCAATACAGTATGTGTCAGTTTCTTTAACTTAAATGATGATTTAAACCAATTATTTCACAATATATTCACAATTCAGCATCACAGAACTTACAATGCATATTTACCAGTTGAAGGCCTCCAGAAATGTACTGTCGTCTGCTCTTTGAATATCAGGTAAAGCTATCAATTATGACACGTTTGGTATTCAATTTGGAGAAAACAACGCTGTAAAATTCACTGCATCATAGTTAAAAGTCAGCGAAATATTTTCTTACATTTTTCTGTGTAATTATTTCAACTTTCATCAAAATCTTAATACAAAAACATGGGTAAAATGGCCGTGTGCTCACCCTTTTATTCACAATGTTGGGAAATGCAGAGTTTTTCAAATATTGGCCCACTGTTGGACCAACGTGTCCAAAGCCACTGTTACTTTTAGGTCATTAAGATAACGTTGGGCCAATGTTGGCAAACCGTTGGCAAACCAACAAACCATTTGCCAATAAACCTTTGCTATCTGGGACCTTGTGATACTGTATTAAGGTAGTTTTTCTTCATTATCTTGTAGATCAAGAACTCAATTCCGTTCCTGGGGATAATGTCGGTGTTCATCATATCGCACGGCCTGGCTGCACACGCGCTTCTTTATCCTAACCGTGACTGGTCACCTGAGTCTTTGATTGACATACCTAAAAGTGCATTTTGGAACCTATTTGGAGAATTAGGATTGGATGAAATTGAAGGTACTCTATATATTATCTTTTCATTTCGGTCACTGATGTTTAAAATTTGGGAATGTCTTCCACGTGTACCAGAAATCTTTTGATAAACTTTACTAAGCCCTCGAATGGTGCCACCTTGATCAAACAGCTTCTGAGCAAGAAAGTAATATGCTCACTATCTTATATCCATTAATACTACAGGAATAAGATACATTTTGTTAAATGACTCTTTTGTATTGGCGTTCATCATTAGTAACACAACAGTAAATGATCTATTATTTAGTTGCTTTTAGGAAAGCATACATGCATACATTTCTTTGTACTTTTGTTCCTTGTGTTAGCGAGTGAAACCCAGGGTGCGTGTTCGTCGAACCCACTTCTTTTCGAAAACGACACAAAGAATGAATGTCCATCCACCACTGGGAAATACGCAGTTCCACTTCTTCTGGCCCTGCACATGCTTCTCGTGAATGTTCTCCTCCTGAGCATCCTGATAGCAAAATTCAGGTACGATGATACATCACCATCTCTGACATCCTCCTGGAGGTATATTCATTCAGCTTTTAAACACTGACAGGTTGAGTGTAGTTCCTCATAGATGTCATCTTTTAACACCATGAATGCAAGGTTTCCTTACAGTACGTGCATCCTCTGGAACACGCTTCCCTTCAACACCCTGACAGCAAGGTTCACGTACAGTATGTTTATGAAGTCATACATACATCCTCAACATACTCAGAGTAAAATTCGAGTACAGTCTCTTAACTACAAAGTAAAAATGATGAGAGTGTACTTATATAACATCCAAAAAGCATGATTCAAGTATGGTAAGTAGTAGATATAATGATTGTCCGGGACCAGGTCCAACAAAAGCCTCTGCAAAGCCTTATTTCCCAAATAAGGCTTTGGTCGGACCCTTAGCTCTTGCTACCATTACCCCTACTGCTTTCCCAACCTATAAAAATTTCAAGCGCCAGCGGGATACGAACTCTGCATGTACGCGCCACTTAACCGACATGGCTGAAGTGTGTCGGTTTTCATCTAAGCCGTGTTGACAGGAGGTAACACTGTGCCGTACGGTACGATCAATAATTCCGCTCTTACAAACCCTCTACCTGGCCCATCCCTCAAGTAGTACAAGTTAGGCTCGTCTGCTTTCATGTCCACTTTATCTATGTTGTAAGTTTTGACTGACCATATCTGGTATCTGTTTCTCCTTCCCACGCAATGGAGCAGCCGACTCTACCACTATTGATTTTAGTTTGATAGCGTCTGCCGGTTTCTTGCCGGTGAGACGGGTGACTTCATGGTTGATTGCCGACACCACCTTAGGTAACCTCACGACCCATTCAGTCGATCGTTTTCCCAGGGTGGCCATCTCCCTCGCATACTGATGTCCGAATAAGCGTTCAGCCAAAGTCCTATTAAATCTCTCAACTATGGCTTGGCTGCGATGGGCTCCAGCCGTGCCACGCCTGACCTTTGTATCGTGTTTGTCTAACAGTTGTGACACGACACCCATGAACTCCCGCCCGGGGTCAACTTGCAGCTCTGTTGGCCATGTTAGCGGACTGCGTTTGTATATGCGTTCGAATCCTCTGGCTACCTGGGCAGAATCTTTCGCGGTCAAGGGTTCGGCTTCCTTGTAGCGACTGGCTACGTCCACTATAGTTAAGGCATACTTATACCTCTTGTCGTGGGGTAGGAATAGGAGGTCGGCCTGGTGAACGCTATTAGGTATGTTAATACCGAACCTCCTTCTAGGCACGTAGCGTGGTGGTGGTAAATAGATCTGCCACAGGGCTTGTTTTTCAAGCCACGCTTTGGCCTCCTCCGGCGGTACTCGCGCCATTTTAGCCAGCTTATCTACAGCGCAAGCTCCTTTCCAGTACCCACGCGGGCTATAGTAAATAGCCTCAAACTTTCTCTGGTTCCGTGACATGTCGTCCCGACAGGGTATTTATATATCTATGTTCTTGGTTCAATTTTCTCATGCCCGTGCACGCTGCGATGTTTATCCCATCAATAGCTATCCAACGCTTAGTATCCATAGGCGACAGGGACGTCTTGTTTATAGTCAGTCCGTATATCTTATGCCCATCACTTCTAAGTGTGTTCATTTTATGTCTAAAGGTACGGGTCTTGAACAGGGCTTCCTTGAATCTGGCGTGTTTGATGTGTTGTTTCACGCGTGCTTCTTAACACCCTTAGCCTTCCGGATCTCACTATTGTCGGCTTTCAGTATGGAGTACATCTTAGGCCTCAACCCTATGTACTTGGCTATGGGCGTGCCAGCACACTCGCCCTTCATCTTACCGAGGACCTTTTATTTACCGTGCTGTGTATGGCATGGTCCTTGGGGTAGTCGCTGGTGTCGTACAAATCGAGGTGTTTTTCATGTCCTCGTGCACATCCTCGGTTCGAATCTCCATCAGCAGGAATCCGCGGTCAGTGTGTTACAGCACTTCACACCTGTCGTCGTACTGTTTCTTAAGCTCGTTGTAGTAAAAGTCGTACATCAGGTGTTTGATAAATCGAGGATGCTCATCCCACGTAAACAGGCCGGTTGAATTTTATGTGGCTTTTCTTCATGTGTAGGGCAACTAGGTCATCGGTGAATATCTTGCTACGGTTGAATGCCGGACTGGCTATCAGTCTCCTGAGCTTGTCTTCCTCATTCGGCCGGACCAGCTTCACGGTCTCACCGCTGCGTTTCCTCAGGTTCTCCATAGTCTTACCGAACACCGAAGTTGTTCATGAGCTTATAGAGATTTTCTCAAAGTCACTGGTGGCAAGCTGGAGGTCTGTGTTCATTCTGATGTAGGCTCCATCCATGGGCTCTGGTTGAACACGAGCACCCTGTGTATTTTGGTCAGCCTCATACCCAACGACATGTACAGCTGTAGGTTGCAATAGTGAACGATGTACTTGGTCTTATTCATTAAGTTAGGCACGAGTTTTTCAACGTCTGCCACCCGCCCACCTAACAAGTTATGTTGGTACTCAGACATCCAGTCTGGGTTAACCCTCATACGTTCAGGGGCCAGGGGGTAACTGTTGTGTGATGTGTGTAATGCCTTGGGGTACTCCAAGTCAACCTCGAGGATATAACCTTTGTTCGAATCTGGTGCAATGCTCATAACATCGAAATCGGACGATACCCGACCGATCTCATGTGACACCCATTCGAATCCCCCTGTGGGTAGATACTGGCTCATGGCCCAGCCGTACAGGTTGTTTGCGTCGAGGTAGAGAATGTGATTGGTTGGTTTGCTTGGGTCGTAGCCCTTCACGTATTGATTATTTGCTTTCGGCATCGTTTTGGTTGCCATGGAGATCCCACCTCGCAAGCCTTTCTCAATGAATAGGTGCATGTCATAATCTGTAAGCAATTCCAACTTAACTCTGGTCTTTTTAAGCAAGGCATCCCACGACAGACCTGGGCTGGTGTAATACCATGCGGGGTCGAGTTTATACTGCTTGAAACATGTCCGCCTAAACGTCTCAAACACGTCAGCTAACAGCAGTACATCTGTCCTCAAATACAGGTCGTGATAGTCACCCAGATTCTCACAACCTAGTTTATTCCATACATTAATAGTGTGCGAGTAATCGTCTTGGGATATTTCCGAGTCTGTCAGATTGCTGTAAAATTCTCTGATGGGGGGTAGTCTGGTCTTGGCGAACTTAGGCCAACTATCCATGTACTCATAGGGGTACACACCCTTCCTCATAAGCAGGGGTCTAGTCTCGGCGTCTGTGTATCGATCGGTAATAGGGAAGGTATCGTTGGCCTTGACCAGACTGTCTAGTGACGACAGGAGAAACTGAAATGAGTCAATGAACCTAAGGCCGTTTAAGCTGAAGGAGATGTATCTCTCCATGTTGTTGGGGATTCACGTTATATTACCATCGATTTTCGCGATGGCCTGCATGATCAAGTGAGAGTCGTACCCTCTCAAGTTGTGAAAGACAACGGGGATGTTTATTGTCTTGGGGATGATTCTAAGCTTGAGGTTACACGCAGCGCTGTGCCTCTGCTGAGCTCTATACTTACCGGTTTACGTGACAGTGATCTCTTACCGAATCACCGTTCAGTGGTGAGTCACACACGTGACAGTTAGTGCTACAGGCGTGAGCTAGTCGGTCGGCTCGGGTCATACTCATGGGAGCGATTGTGTACAGTGCGTTCCTAATAATTTTTTCTTCCTCCTGCAAACACTTTAGAAACCTTTCAGCCGCGTCGGGACCCCTATACACTACCGGAGCTTTCGTTTCCCCGTCACAACGGACAACAACGTATCCAAACCCACAGGCTTCATGCTCTTGTGTTTTGAGTGTGGTTGGGGTATCCCCAACAGCCCCGCCGGCAGCAGCCTCAACAGGTTTGACCAAGGCTTCAAAGTCGGCGTAGATGACATAAGGCACAGACATTTGGTGCTTGTGGTTGCCGAATTTTAGGATATTGTCACCTTCCTTAGGCATGTCGACTCGTATGGCCGTCTGCCCCACACCTTGGCAATCCTCCCGGTGGGATTCTAATAAATCAGCTCGGCTGAAACCGTGCAGGCATCGCACACAAAAGTGTTTTTTCCCAACGTGTTTCGACTGGTCGTGCAACAACCGGCTGAGATGTTTTATCCACGTGTAGTGATACTTTTCACCTCGTTGGATCATGAATATATTGATAACTTGGCGACCCTCCTCCCCCAACATTGGGCTGACCCTGTGTACTATTGTTGTGTTGCCTTCGTGCCCAAAGACGTTATAAGCTAGATTATTCTGTTTTTCTACTTTAGTGATCTGGGATATGGGGGTTGGTTCATCTATACCATCCCAGTTGAGCCCATCATCTTGGGGATAGCTAGAAAGCCTGTCTGAATGAGTGTCAGCTGGAAACAAGGTTGACCTGGTAGCTACCCTCAGGCAATCGTCTCCTCTATTCTTAACGTTTACCATGGCCTGTTTTTTCCTATAGTAGGGGGGCAAGTCTAGGTATGACCCACCTCTGAACGGCACGTAGTTAGCTATGTCTAGATAGACATTATCGATTTTATCTACAGCCCACCCGGACCCCAAGTGTGTGTAGCGTTCTAGGTATTCTCGTATCTGCTGAAAACTGGTATCGATTGATACGTCTATGGTCTCTATATGGGTCACGACTTCTTGTTTACCTCTGAAGTAAGGCTGAACGTACTCAGTGACCCCATTCCCCACTTGCTTATCGAGCGACATTTTAACTGTGATCTGAAACTTGATACTTCCCAGACTGTTTAGTGTCCTGGTTTATTTTATCAGCTATCAGAGGCTTGATATCTGTAATGTCTATGTTCCTATCAACATGCATGCGCCAACCTCTCAAATAGTTGCCTACAGCGCGCTCAGTGGGCACGAACTGTAGGTCAATAGCTCTATTCTGCCATAATAGTTCTACAAGCTGTGGCTTCTTCATACGGGAATAACCCCCTAACCCCAAATCGCGTGCCTCGGCTTTTAATTGTTTTACA